ATGTATTTTAGATAAAAATATTTGTATATTAGTTGTTTTAAATAAATATCTGCCGAAAATAGTAGCGATTCTAAAATATGACATAAGTTAGGTTGTGTCTAACCAGTGAACAAAGGGTGCCCTCAAAAGAATGTAAGTAGATTGTTTATTTTATTATGTCTATATTTTTGATAGTGGAAAATATAATTGTTTTTTTTATGTGTTCTTATTTTTCTGTGTTCTCCTCCAACCCTTTCTAGTAGTTAGTGGCTACGCTGACGGGGTTAATAAAACACCCCGTAGCAATATCTTTTGTGGATATCCAATATATCCACAGGATATCATAGATATTAAATTTTTCTTTTAAAGATAAGTGGAACAATGTACTGCTTAATCTAAAAACATTCAATGTGAATAAAATCAGTATTCCAGTAGCATAACATCGGAACGCCCTGTATTTCAAATTTGGTATATACACCCATACAAAGTTTACTATTCTAGTGTTAATTATTTTTGATGCTACACAGCATTGGTATAGCATGTAGAGTAGAAAGAGTATCAACATTTTATATTTACACTTATATAGTGTACACCATACCTAAAAAACTAACAAAATATCATTGAATATGTGAAGTAAGTTTTAAATTGAATGCAACGCACGAGTTATTTAACATATAAGCAACTTACAAATAAATCTTGTTCTTTACTTTTGTTATATTAAGTATAGTTAGGTAAAACAAAGACAAATATTATGAGCAGACTAAATATATTTAAAAAAGTAAACTATAGTATAAACATACTATTATATTAAATAACATATTACATTTAAGCTGATGAATGAATATACTACCCGCAGCCAAGGAAAACCTAATCACACACACATTATATATTGGCGCCGCAATTTCAACTGGAAATGTCTTCCTGAAAAAAAGACGCTCTGTTGTAGAATTCCTCAAAAAGTGAACCTATATTTTAAATCAAGCTATACCCAAAACGAAAATGAAGTCTGAAAAACGCCTTTTGTGCAGAGTGGCACTTATACAATATATAACACTAACTAATAATTTAAAAGGGCTGGATCTGTGTATACAGGGTGTTTCCGAACTTGGCGTCCAAATTTGTAGGGGTGGTAGTTGCATAATTTGAGACCGATTCGCAGATTTAATTTTTACAAAATATTTAAAATAAAAATAATTAAAAATTTTAAGCAGGTACGGTCCTGCACAGCGACGGGAACGACTCGCGCGCGCTACGCTAGAATCGACAAAATTGCAAATCGCATCTGTTTTTGAGTTGTAAATCCCGATGAGTAACCGATCGCTACGCGCTGAGGGTAGGGCCCGCTCTTTGATTTTTTTTATAATGGCTCTATTTTGTTTACTATAATTTTTTTAGAAAAATGAAATCTGCCAATCTTTCTCAAATTATGCGAACTACCACCCCTACAAATTTGGACGCCAAGTTCGGAAACACCCTGTATATTATACTTATTTATCTAAACTGTTGGACCAGCTAAACATAACCTAACATTACTTGTTAAATTATTCATGCATGCTATTGAATACAAGGCAGATCTAATAAGATTACCTTAACCAGTGAAAAAAATACCTCTTTCTAATTAATTATAACAACCATTAAACAATAAAAACCAAACCGAAACAATAATAATCACACGAAATAAGTAGGTATATGAAGGTAGGTAAAGTAACATCCATCTTAATAGGCATGACAAAATAAGCGATACGCCACCTACAGTTTTAATTTGAAACCTTCCAGTGGGCCATTAATGTTTTGTTTACTCATGTGATTCAAGCATAATATAGGTTAATCTTACGGTTTCTGTTTGTATATGGTGTTTTAAAGACGTTTAATTGATAAAATTATTGTTTATTTTATCAAAATGAACCATCACTGTTGTGTTCCCATGTGTTCCTCTTGGGTAAAACTAAATAAAGAACTTAGTTTTCATACATTTCCCAAAAAAGGACAACGTGTTTTGGTAGAAACAAAATTAGGGAAACGAGAAGCTGTTGATCGGAGGGAGGAATGGATAAGAAAATTAAAAATTGGAAAGCCTGCGAGTCCGTACATGAGAGTATGTTCATTGCATTTCTCTGAAAACGATTATTTTTATAGAGGTTAGTATTTAGTCGTTTTTTGTGTTTCCGTATTAATAGTTTTTGTTTGTAGGGGACAGCTCTAAATTACATAGATTAAAATTTAATGCAGTACCGTCTAGGAAGTTACCTTTGGAAGATAAAATAGTATTATGTATTTAGGTTATGGGTTAATGTAATATAAGGTAAACATACTTTTGCTAAATAAATACACTGCCACTATCTATAAAAATGTTTAATTAATACATATATAACCAACACTAAAACTAACAAAATCCTTTACACACTTTAAAAACGAAAAATTCAACACCTAATCTTACGAAAAACCTATGGCATGTCATATGAAAACAAATGTAAACAAACTATAAATGGCCCAGCGGAGGACGAAAAAGTGACCGGTAGAGGCGCTGGAGTCTAAGCTTTTTTCGCCTATTATAATAAAATATAGGGTATCGTAAAAACGACATGAGTTTTTAGTTGTGAATTACCTAAAAAGGAAACGGATTTTAACGAACATTGCATACAACCTACTTAACAATCTTAATGTGAATTTAACCATTGTCTTATTTAACTAAAGTCTATCAACCTTTTACACTAATAAATTTTAGTTTTAAAGCTTACTTATACCTCCTTTTACTCCAAAATTATCAAATGAAACTCATACACACGACGCCGATGGCACCTGTGAGGGCAGAAAATATCCGCGCCTGCGCTCGCGTTCATTGCCAATATTATTTATCTAGCGGATATATGTGGGATATTGAATGCAACTTACTAATTTTAAATTTCTATAAACCATACCTACATACTTTCTTAGTTATCACATGGCGCAATATTTTAGTAATTTAATAATTATTAAATCAATTGGATATCCACCATGGTATACGTTCGCGCCTAGACTTTGATATATTTAGGGGATATCCATGGGATATTGAATACACTTTAAAAAAATGTAATTTTAAATATCTAAACGGTACTATTAGCCACAATGGTGTAATTTTTAAATAATTTGTTGTATAATTACTATTATTTATGGACATTTTTATATGTATAAATTACAACTCATGGATATAAAATAGATATCCACCATGGTCTGGACATTCAGTGGATATTGGAATGTCCAGTAGATATCCAAAGGATTTGGTGTGCTGTCTAGCCTATGGAATCAGAAATTTTATTTCTTTTAACTCTGGTGACTAAAGAAATTTTAGAAAATATTTACAAAAATATGCTATCAGGATTTCACTTGTAACACCCTGTATCTCGAAAACGAAACTTTTTCGGACCTATGTTTATATGAACTTTTACTCCTATTTTAGGATGTAGATTACGCTGTTACAATATGATCGTCTAATTTCGGTACACCCTGTATATAAAAAACTTTATTATTAATTTTTGGAAAAAAGTTATTCTTCATAAAAGTTCTGCATTATCTAAAACCTAGAATACAGTCATCAGTTGAGTTTTACTCAAGAGTAAAGTACCTTTAAATTTGACAATATCGAAAATTTTCATTTCCAGTATTACTGTTATTGTTACAAAAATAAAGGTATATTTATTCTTATTGTACAGCTACCCATTTATTCCTTTGAGTTAATTTCCACTTTGCTACTAAAAATTTTTATAATTTACACTTTTTTGCTAATATTTTTAAAATTTACAACACAGTAACTCCGGTTGCTTATCTATTGTTTTTACCTTTTTTTTTTTTTTTTTTTTTTTTTTTTTTTTGAAAAAAAAGTAAAATGTATACGTGTTGTTGATATGCCAAAATTACAAAATATCGTCCTAAAATGCACGAAATATTCGCAGCTAGCGCTAGTACCGCTTTTGCTGAATTCGCACTGAGCGAATAGATAGTCACAAGATTCAAGTCCTGGATTAAATTAAATCCCACCCATTTTTCTAAAAAAATGTTCAAATAGCCTTCTTAATTTCCTCGCGAATGAACATATAATAAGTTGCACAATAATGTAGAATACATTCCTAAACCAGTAACAATGACTATATGTAAAGAATCACAAATATCAAAATTCCCCACAGTTATTGATGATCTCTATTACTCATGCGCAAATTCTACTTCCTCTTAAAATCATAAAAATTTGTTTTTGTTATGTTTCCTACCCTGAGTTCCAATTACACATTCAAATTCATTTCGTTTTTGCATTTGATTGTATTTGTAGGGAAGCCAGTGATCATTTTAGGTGTGTTATTTGCGAAAGGTAAAATTACAAATATTTCATTCATTATTATATTGTAGAACATAGAAATAGTTTGCTGCAGTTTTTGCAGCAATGAAGCCCTCGGCAACGTCTTAAAAAAGCCTGTTTGGAAAATGCTGTCACAGAAACGCAAACTTGAAACATTCAGGTATTATTAACAACAAAAGGTAATAGAAATAAGTTTGCTGCAACCTTCTTGAAATTCGGCTCACGGTATCTTCTTGCTTCCTGACGGAGCATTTAACTGCTAGATCATTTGCAGCAAACAATTTTTATTAACAGGCTCGTTTTGCCTGAACGCCGTCTGGCCAAAACTAGCACATCAAATTTCTGTCTACGAATCTCGACAGTCAATGTCGTGGATGGTCTAGAGAAAAGGGCACATGTGTAGCAAACATGGATGTCCGGGTTCGATCTCAGGCTGCGACAGGTTCTTTTTCAAATCAAGTATTTGTTTCTTGCGTGATTGGGAAATGCAGTTTTTACAGAGGCTGTGTGTTATACAGTTTGATGTTGGGGAAAATTAATTTTTCTCACTTCAGCCTTAAACCTCTCACTTGTGAAGTAAATGTTCTATCCACTATTTTATTTGCTTAAAGAATTTTTTTATAACACTGTACAACTAGATTTTATTTAATTTAAATGGCACCGCAAATAATCCATTGTTGGTTTTTGGTTTCAGATAGTGCCTTTAAGCAACAGAGACTACCAGCATGGCAACCAATTCTCACTGCAGGAACTGTTCTACCTTCCTTTTTTATCATAGGAATAGCCTTTATTCCAGTAGGTATTGGATTGCTTTATTTCTCCGATGAAGTTAAAGAGGTCACAATTGATTATACAAATTGTAATAGAACCATTGAAAATGGTAACAGTTTTACTTATACAGATGAAATATGTGCAAATGTTATTAAAAATGATAGTAAAGCGGATTGCTTCTGCAGAATTCGATTTAATCTTACAAAGGATTTTGAGGTAAAATTATTTATAATACAAAACTTTATTCATACATTTTCATTTACTGCTTGTCCTAAACCGTGCTGTCATTCAGTATGTCCTTGTCGTAACTTCTCACCGAACTGGTTCCCGGTAAATTGATGCAAAGCAGAAGGTCTAAAACAATTTGATTTAATATTAAATGACCTAAACCCAGATGATTTAAAATATATTTGGTCTAAATACATTTGATATAATTACAATGGATCTTAAATACATTTGTTCTAAAACGTTGCAACATTATAAAATATAAAAATAATAAAAAAAAACTTAAATAATATACTAAACCTTTGCGATCTGGAGAAAAATAAAAAAAACCATATACCTTTTTTAGTTTAAAAGTAATTAGAATACAGTGCAACCTCTTTAATCCGAACACCTAGTTGTCAGACCTTGTTCGGATTAACGAATATACAATGAAACACCTCTTACACATTTTTAGACCTTTAGATCTATGTATGTATATTGATTTTTGTACATTTAAATGCATTATCAAACTACATATGGGAGACTCGGGCCGCGCTGCAGGTCTCTTCCTGCCAGCTTTCGGATTACAGAGGCGGCGTTCGAACTATCTCTCGCATCACGATTTGCGTTCGGATTAGCGTGGGTTCGGATTATCGAGGTTGCACTGTAATTGTTTTTAGAACAAATGTAATTTAGACCGATGTCCTTTTAGGTCCGATGCACTATAGGCAAAGATTTTAGATAAAATGTATTTAGATCAATTTGATATTAGACTACTGGCTAGTTTTTTCACCAAGTTGAAAGTAGGTAGCTACTTATTGATGAAACTGTAGGGCTATTGTTTGTTAATCTAAGAAAACCTACATGTAACTTTACTCAGAGGTGAAAAGATCAGCCCTTAATGTTTTAGATTAAGTATTTTTAGACCAGTTTTCCTGGAAGTGTCCTAAAAATGGACCTGCAAATTCAAGATATTTATACTGTTAATTGGAATTTTGTGGTAACGAGAAATTAATATAAGCACAATATGTACTAAATCATATTAAAAATCTAGAGACATAAATGCAATAGGAATTTCTGCAATTTTACTTGAGAACAAGGAAAATTTAAAACTGTAAAGGGTACTTTTACCATTTTTTTAAAGGTACATTGTACATACTGGTAATAATGTTTAAATTATTTAAAAATTTAACTAAATTTTTATGGTTATAGTACAGTATTGCAGTATTTTGCTCAGAATTTTCCGAATATTTCAATTTTTGCAAATAGAATATTTTTTAGGGCAAAGTGTATATGTATTATGGTTTAAGCAACTACTACCAAAATCACAGGAGATATGTAAAATCAAGAGATGATAAACAGTTATTGGGGCACTTGGATTCTGATCCATCAACTGATTGTTTGCCATTTGCTTATGTTAATCTGTCAAATAGTTCTAGAATGCCAATAGCTCCATGTGGGGCCATTGCCAACTCAATGTTTAATGGTAAGGATTTAAAAACTCTTAAATTTATACATTTTTAACTTTCTCCCCATTTGTATTTTGCTTTTTTTATTATTTAGAATATAAAGTAAATATTTTTAAGCTAGTTATTATTTTTGTCACTTTCAGAATTCAGATTAAGATATTGGTATACAATCGTTTGTATTTCAACCAAATTGGGCTTGCCTGTAAAAAAAATACATAAATAAATACATTTTTATTTTAGACAAGCTATCTTTATTAATGCAGTCTGGTGATAAAACAACCGAGGTTCCTCTCCTTAAAACTGGGATTGCATGGGAATCCGATAAAAAAATTAAATTCCGGAACCCTGGAGACAATCTAACAGAAGCCTTTAAGAATTTTCACAGACCCAAAGCTTGGAAGGTTGACATTTGGGACCTCGATAAGGAAGATCCAAATAATAATGGCTTCGAAAATGAAGATTTTATTGTTTGGATGCGTACGGCAGCTCTACCAACCTTCAGGAAGCTATATCGTAGAATCGATCATAACAAAATAGGGTTCACCAGTGGTTTAAGAAGTGGAGAGTATATACTGGTTGTTCATTATAGTAAGTAAATAACATACATGTGTAAGAAAAGGAAAATCAACCACTGTCTTTACATCCATTTTACTTTATAAAAAGTATACCTCGAACTTATTAATTTGATTTCCATATTCTATCTGCTTGCCCATGTAGAAATAGTTGGGTCCTTTGCATTAAGCTGGATTTATAAACTACGTTCAATTGGCGTTCGTTTCACGCTCAGTTCGAGTTGGTGAGTTCGCGCTGGAACCAATTTATAAAGTCATTGGCCGTTCGTTCGTCGCTGCGAATTTTGAAATTTGATTAGACAAGACATAACCACAAATTCCACAAAATAAATTATATTTCGTTGTTATTTTGTTATTATATTTGTAGTTGGTGTTGCTTATAAAATAATTATAAATCCATTATAATATTGTATCCAAAACAAACCTACCATGTAATTTTGTGGTCAAATAATCACATACGTGTTTTTCATTGGCTCGACGTTCGCGTCAAACGTTGGCGAACGGCGAACATAAAAGTTGGTCATCTCTCGGCGTCAACTGAGCACGAACGTCAGCAAACGAATTTGATAAATGACAGTGCACGTTCTGCTTTGTTTATGTTGAACTTGAACTGAGGGTGAACTGAACGAAGTTTATAAATCCAGCTTCTCTTAAGGCCAAACTTTTTTCGTTTTTTATGTTATTTTATTTTTATTTGTGATTATCGCGCTAATCTGGAGGGACAAAGTTTCTACAGTTGCATATAAAAAGTTACCTCGACAACGGATATTTGGAGTGCGAACGTGTTTTAAGCCTGCCCATGTAAAAACTATTTAGCCCCTTTACCCCTGCCTATGTAAAAGTATTTGTTCCCTCTACTCCGTATGCAGGTACAAATATTTGGTCTCTTTTCCTCTTAGGCCTGTACATGTAAAAATATACTTAGGTAGAGGCCTCCGTAATTATTCACGTAATTACGACTTGAATTACATTGTAACCCACTCATAGACTTTCGTCAAATGAAAAGCAGCCAGAATATCCGTATCTCCAATTATTTGGTTAAAACACGACAACATAAAAAAGGAGAAAACTTATTTTTCTAACCTAAACCTAGTACTCGCTTCGGCGGTACATATACTAAAATTGGAACAGAGAAGATTAGCATGGCCCCTGCGCAAGGATGACACGCAAAATCCTGAAGCGTTCCACATATTTAAATAATAAAAAAAATATATAAAAAATATGTAAATAAATAAAAATGTAAATGGGTTTTTAATTAGTGTTGGAGTTGTTCACGTTATTATTTGCATTTAGTTTATTTTTTAAACAAAAAATCTGATTCATTAATTATTTTTCAGTGTATAATTATATTAAAAAAAATTGTTTCTAAAAAATAAATACTTCGTTTTTGTGAATATTCTTTAAAAATTCATTACACGTTTAACCATGCATTCATGCATTTTTCATTTATATATAAATTTTAACATGCATAATGAATACTTATTTCAAATAACAAATTCTTATATGAATTTTTATACAGATATATTTTATCAATTCAAAAAATGTTTACAAATTGTACACTTAGGTATATTGGATATTTTTATAACGTGTATAATTTTTCTATTCTAATCTAAAAAATAGAAATTCTGCAAAATCCTTAAAATATTGCAGGAGCCAATGGTGGAAGGCATTTTAATTGTTCAGATTGTTTCACTAAAATAAAAAATGTATTGAAAGTTAAATTACCAGCACATGTGTTTATTAAAAATATTTATAACTTTTATGTGTTACCCTAATTTAGTTTAATAAGTTTAGGAAAACGATAATAAATTATGTTAATATGTATTTTTATGAAATGAACTCTTCATTATCGGGTTAGTTTTATTAAGAAAATAAATTTAAAATTAGTTTTGTTCGTTCAATAAATTTAATTCCACAACTTTAGACCTGTTTTGACTAAAAACTTGTTGACTTATTGTATTGCCTGTCGGAGTATTTGGTTATATAGTTGGTTGACGAAACACATTGTATTTTGCTATCAAGAGCCTCCCAGCAGTTTTTTATGCATTTCCTTTATTTTTTAATTTAAAAGCATTTTAGATGAAATTCAAAAAGTAAATCTATTTCAAATACACATTAATAATATTACATATGTATACTCTACATTAATGATGTAATTTGGGTTCCACTGACAATTACAGTGACAGTAGACTTGTTTATTTATTATTATATTATTTAGCTTTTTTTTTGAGGGCGTTTTGTTTCTTTAAACAATTTTCATTAATAAAAAAACAGTAAACATATATGTAAAATTTAATAACAGAATAGTTTGTTTTTGTTAGGTTAAAAGTTAACTGTCATTGGAATAAAAATTATTTTATCTGATTTACTCTGAAATGTACATATTTACTAATGGTATTGTCGTTTTCAGATTATGACGTGAGTACTTTTCATGGTTCCAAAAGAATGATTTTAAGCACGACTTCTTTACTTGGTGGAAAAAATCCGTTCTTAGGAATTGCTTACATTGTAGTTGGATGTATATGTCTTCTGTTGGGTATAGCGTTATTATTTATCCATATAAAATGTGGCAAAAGGTAAGCAATATAAAAATATAAAATCGTTAATAAATCTATTGTGTCTTTATTTTCTCTATTCTTCATAGAGCACCCTGTATATGTTATAAGCAAGGCAAGGTATGTTTCATAATGAAACTTTTTATACCTAATATTTAGCATTAATCTAAGTTCTATTTCTGACACGCGCGATTTGAAAATATTAAGTTGATTTATTGAATATAATCATGACCTATATTGTAGACATATTGTATAGAGTAAAGGAAAGGACAAAAATTGTCCCTAAAAACTTACACCATACCAGGATACCCATAGACATATTATCTAAGATAGTCATGCCCTTCACACTATTTAATCAATAATGCACCTTTTTGTCCGCATCATATAACAGACAGGGAAAGGAGTATCATACGGCGTACATAAACGTAGTGTTTTGGCAGGGTTTATTTAAAAATTACTTATTAATCAAACATATACCTGTTCAATAGGTGTTCAGATTCAAAGGTAAATTTAAAGAAATAATTTACAATATGTACAGGTTATTCAAAAAATCGTTCTGTATATTTTCTTATAAATTAAAATAACAGCTAAAATTGGAGAAACAGTTTTGTTAGTATTTAAAACGATTAAAAAACTACTATAAAATACATTTAACTGATAATAACTGGCATTAGGAATGCAAATATACTTAATGTAATTTGTAATTCGTTGATGTGAAAATGCTATATTGCGATTTTGTTATTCTAGTATCATTGTTTAAAAAATACATGAATTGCAAATAAAAATCTTAAGCTATTTAATATTGTTTTTACACCAGTCTGACAATACCGATGTAAAACATAACATTCTTATTACAAATATTTTGGCACACTACACATTTCCTGGCCATCCTGAATATCCTTATTAAACAGTTCAATGTCCAAATTATTCCCGAAAATATCAAAAAACCACAATAAAACTTAAGCTGTTACTTGACGCCGTCAAAAAAATGTCTTACGTTGCCAAACTTAATGGCTATGAACCAGAATGTTCAATATCCAAATACAATACATACACACAAGACGATAAATAAGTGATTATAATGAATAAAAAACTCATATCGATGCTTTCAATTCTTTATTTTTTTTTAAATAGATTATATTAAAAGGAATATTACATTTTTTATTGAACATTTAATGCAGGATGTTTGATGGAAGAGACCTGACAACATAGGAAGAGCGTACTGTTCACTATTTGGTATGTTAGATGTGGTTCTAAAGGGATTTTTAACAATTAATTTTTTTGTATATGGAAAAAAAAACGTGTTAACATCTAATATTATAAATTTTTACATTCTATAACAATATGGTGAGATGCAGTCTACCTCTTTTATATATTATCTTCAATATTTTTAAAATACCCAACATAATCTCGTGTCTTGAAGTAAATATTAAGGTAATTCTTTTTTTTATATTTTAATGCTGAAATTACGCCCACTGCGGCCCGCTTTTCGTCATCTGATTTACAAATGGATGAGCAATCCATATAACTATATATCATTGATTGACTCTTAAACGGTATCCTATTCGGTATTCGCGATTCAAATTAATTTTCGCGCGCCTGTCATTTGTCACCTATAAGTAGGATGTTTGTTTATTTACATTGCGTTTGTATTTGTATTCATGATTTTTTAACTGTTTTTAGATAATATTCTCATTATAATGTTTTCGAGTTTCATTTAGTGTTTTTTTGTGTCATCGGCATCAACTGCTCCGGTTATTAGCCTCGTGTTCTGTGTAGGCTTTGTTACTGTTTCCCAGCGCCACTTTAGGAACAGCACTGTTAATTAGTACCCAACAGTGAATGGTCGAGTGGGGAATCCTACCAAGGCATCAGAATTAATTTTAAAAAATTAAATTAAATCCCGGCCAACGGAGGGATTCGGACCTGGGACACTTGGATCCGCAGTCAGAGACAATTTTAGTTTAGTTTCCGTGCTTTCGTCATAAATATAATATCATGTATTATGACCAATTTGATGGAAATCTTCACCTGTCTGGTTGCTACACAAACATTTAGAAATATTTATTTACTAAACGCAGAACATATTTTATTATGTGGTTTAAAGGACATTTCAGATACCTAATATTTATTATTGATAAACTTAATTAAAAATCTTACCATCCTTATTCGTATATCGATGGTTTAGCGCACACATGTGTTAAGTAAGCAAAACCATCGATATTATGAAATAAATGGTGTAGTACTTTGTATACATGTAAACGGTAATAAAACTCACAATGCAGATATTGCAGTTTGATTCTAGACAATATTTTGCAAAATCTCAATAATGTGAATTTGTAGATATACATTTATCGTAAGAAACAAAATTTTACGACTTGATTTTGACATTAACACCATATAGATTACAATTTGTTGGAGCATTTTTCGCAAATTTCGCTGTTAATGATGTAACATTTTATTAACAATGTGACTAACTCCCGTAAAAGTATCTACCAAAAAGGACTAAAAACCACCTTTAGTAAATATACTTTTTAAAAACAAAATTTCGTTAGTAACAATGCCTATTTACTTCTTATTTAAATTAAATTTTGCTGTTTTGTAAATTTATGTAATATGAAATCTGTTTCCAGCAAAATAATTGATGCTTAATATTATTTATTAAAACCCCTTAATGCGGATCTGAAGTATTCAGCCCAAAGGATCATGGCGGCTTTATGTCAAAACGTTAATAAATATTTACCGCTGAAAACGAATATATTTCTTATTTTTCATAACATTGGCACTTATAAGTATATACAATTTTTCACGATACATCATGCATTTTCAAGTTTAAATATAACTATAACTTAAACTATTAACTGGTAATTACACCAACAAATAATTCTAAAAACGACGGTCCATGATGATTCACTCTCGCGGAGATGAGCGTAGAATAGAAATGTCGGAGCAATTCGGGTGACGTCGTGGAAACAATAAATTTTAATTGGTGGGTTACTTATGGTTGGAATAGACAACATGCGCTATGTGCAATGTTACATCTACGGTCTCTTTAATCTAAGGTTATTACCTTTATGTAGTGATCAACAAAATTTTTTCTATAGTAGGCTTTGGAAAAATTCACACATGTCGGAGTTAATAATTCTTTTTAAATGCCAGTTTACATTTAATTCAGAGCCTTGCGTAAGTATCACGTAATTGGCTCATACCTTCGTCTTTGTCAGTCATGGCCTACTTTAGAAACATTTTTTGTGGATCAATCTTCATTATTACTGTTTAAAATTTTAAAAATATTACCTTTACATTCTTTCATATTTGCCTTGCTATGTATCTTCTAATATTTATTTAGAAAATATTTTTTTTACAGTACTAGCGAAATGATAAATGTCAACCCAAGGACGCCATATCAGTAAGCCATGAAAAGAATTAAAAAGACAGTGTTACTTAAGTTGATGTACTTTAGTTACCTTATATTACAAACTATAAAATTATTAAAAATGGTCTTGTAAAATTGAAAATGTTTGACAGCAATTTCAAATTGATATTTGATATTCTAGAATTTTAGCATATTTATTTGGTAAATTTGTAATAGATTCATGTAAATCTTTAAACATTATTTTAATTTAATGATAAAACTACATCTGAATAATTTATAGCAAATGTAGTTTCATTATTTTTATATTGCAAAATAATTATGAATTTCTGATTTTCCTTTGATATATGTATACCCTATTTTTTAAATTATTTAATTCCAATTAAACAATTTGCCTTAATGTATTCGGACATAGAATATTTAGAAATGAGCGCAGGTAATGAAAAGTTAATAAAGTATTGTGGAAAACTAGATATGGATCTCATCTAAAATTGAAACATTCATGTATTTCTAGAATAGATAACACAAAGTGGCCTTCTATGTTAGTTTAGGGGTAATGTGGCACATTCAGAAATAAAGAATAGCCTGAATACAGAAACTAATGGTCGTGGTAAAATTGACCTTTGTCTTATTTAGGTATAGAAATAGATATGATTTGTAAATTTAATTAAATAAGTACGACATTCAAAAAAATATGGTAACACATAGGTCCATAACAAATATTGTGCTAAAAAAAAAATGCCGTTTATATGCTATGAAATATTTTACAATCTACGAAATTACCAAACATTATTCTTCTGTCAAATATTTTTATTCAGTTAGAAATAATCAATATTTAAACAGGCGTATAATATAAAATATCTTATGTTAAATCTATTATCTGCTGGTATTGAAAACTTTCAGAGTAGGAACCATATATTTCGTTGTAATTTTGGATATTTTTTTTTTTAAATACTAATAGAAATAAAATTATGTCATTCTATGTCTAAGGCATCAGATATTATGATTATAAGCTTTGCTGTCGACTTATAATGAATGACCGAATTGGGATCCCTACTTATGCATAAAATATGTCAATGGTCGATCATAACGGGTTATCACGAAATTTTGCATTTTCTTGATAAATTAAATCACTTTTACCCTTTACCAACTGAATAGGTATTTTTTAGTACTCGTAAGGGTCGTGAAAATCTGTAACGTCCCAGTATTCTTCCGAAATCATTTTCAAATTGGGCCATCTCCTCTAATTATGCTGTTTATTACCAGTACAGAATACATTTTTATATGCGAATTCAATTTAGACCACTTTTTGCGTTGTGTTATATTTTTTTAATAATTATGAAATTCATTAAATTATTGTGAATTTTATTATTTTAGTAAAATTGTTTTTCGCTATATTAATTGCAACACTTTAATTGAAAAGATTTTAGTTTTATGTAAATGTTTTGGAAATATTTTTGATAAAATTAAAAATCATAATATTAAGTGAATAAAAAAATGTTTAAATTAAACCATGAAAAAAATCACGCATATCGGAGCTGACAGTTATTCTTTTTTAAATTACAGTTGGACTTGATGTAGAGGCGTCTGGTCGAATTAGACATTCTAAATAAAATGGCTACCAGTTGGTTTTAACAGCTTATGATATGGCAACCCTGTAGGCCTGGTGATTTGACAGGGTCAATGGAATAGATAGTTATATAGATTGATCATCCATGTTTTTCAAAATAGACATAAGCTTATGCCTTGAAGTAAAAATGTAGGTAATTATTTTTTTACTTTATTATTTTCTGATTAATGAGCATTTGCGAGGCAATATGGCCACTCGCAAACGACCTGCTTTGAGCAATCTATATAACTATATATTTATCATCGACTCTGTCAATGACAACAGGCCCACAGGGTTGCCATATATCTAAACTGTCAGTTCCCACTTGTCAGCATTTTGACAGGTCGTTGGAATGCCTAATTGCTGTATTTGTCAATCATTGCCTACTTAAGAAAATTATTTAATACATTTTTTAAATTTAATTCCTTATATCGGCATTAGGATGATTAATCTTTGTAATTCATTGATTGTTGGGCGGCATTTATGGTTAACTAAAAAAAAATATAAATAAAAGCTAATTAATACTTTTTTTGGACCGTTTTTAGTTTTAAGTAGGTAACCATATTATTTAATTGTAAATTTGACACATTTTTGATAAAGAAAATATTTATGTTTGTTTTACTATTCAAACAGTCATACTTAACCGAGATTGGAAATTTTATTTTCTTTATCATACACTGTTCAAATTTGACCATTTGTGTTTTTAGTCTTGACAGTCTGTAGTTATTTTGGATAAGTCATATGGCAAAGATTCTATTATGATTAAGATTCTATTAAGGCGCAGTTGCCTGACCAATTGAACACGAGATACATAAAATTACCCAGCTATATTACTCAACTGACGAAATTTTATCGAGTTGTGTTGTAATAAATAGGACTGGGCGATTATCAAAATTAATAATCGATTATTTTCGATTAATCTAGAATAAGATGTGATCATTTTATAGGTAAGGTTACTTTTTTAATAACGTTTTCCATTCAGGTTATTCAAATAAGATTAAAGGTCTTTAGTATTTACTATTACACTACTGCTTTATCAAATGACTTGATCAAAATGATTTAGAGTTCTGTTCTATTGTGATTTTAGAAATAAAACAAGTTGTATATATTATTTTGTATATTTTATTAAAAATGATTATTAAAAGTTAATGCCTACAATATTTGTTTCATTTACAACCATTTCAAATGTGCATGACTTTCAATTTTGAGAGATCCGAGCAGGTTCATCGATGGTACCTACAGAGAAAGTCGAAAGGAATTGTGTAATAAACACAAATCTATTTCTTTTGAGAACATATTAAAGTAGATATTAAAATTTCCTTCTAACTTTACATTAAAATTCAAAAATAGAACTTGGTAAGGACTTCCGTGTGTCGAGAGAAGTATCTTAAATGGTTTGAAGCTGTATACTGACAGCCCTCCAAATTCAAAAAATCCATGGACATTGATCGGGTCGGTCTTTTCACCTTCAGATAAATTGTCAGGTAATTTTTAGCACCCAGATAACTTAGAAAGTCATCTTTTCACCTCTGAAAGATATCTTACCTATGAAATTCCTGATAAAGTATTTAACTGTTACATAAACATAACTACATAACCACAACATTAAAAACTACTGGATACCTACCCTACAAATTATTTCTCTTAAAAAGAGAACTTAATTAGCTGTCGGATTGTAATTCTTGGATATTATAATAATATATCCTTTAGTTGGTTATCTAAAGGTGAAAAGACGGACCCTAAATAATAGTGTTTTATCTTCTTATTCGTTTTTGTATATTTAATAATGTACATAAAGCTCCTATTCAAGTCATGACTTGATATTCTGATATGTTATTTTTTTTATCAATATTTATCATGATTTGTATATTATTTAATTTAAATCAAAGTAGATGAAACAGTTTATATCTTCAAATTTGCTTAAGCTAAACATTATAGTAGAATAAAAGCTTTCCTGTATGCACTTATTTTTTTACGTTGTCATTTAAGGTTCCCCAGACCAACGTGAATATTCTCTGCGAATCCGCGATGAAAAATTCGCAACGAACTAGTTAATACATACAATTCTAAAGCAATAAAATTCGCGCTAGTTTAAAGATGTATCACAGGTGTTTTACTCGGAGACTATTTGACGTACACCATTGAAATTTGTAGTGTAGTAGCTCAAATAGGAAGAGGTTAGCTAAAAAAAATAGATTTTTTTTTAATTCCCTCTATAAAAGGGAAGATTGTAATCGCGAAAAATTCACCCTCCAAGATTATTTCGGTTCGTCACGTCTCGGGTCCCTAGATTACGAAAAACATGTTTCCCCATTCCGACGATCTGTCTGTTGGCGCGATAACTTAAAAACGGCTTTAGAGAAAAACTTCAAATTTTGTATGCATGTAAGGCTCCTTTCTGGCTCAAAACCAGTTATACTTCCGGTCAGTTATAAACAGGATGAGCAATTTAAAAGAAACATATAAGTGCGGATTTCGACTTAATCGTACCGATTTAATCAAAAATGGACCCCATTGAATGGAAAGTGTCCTTTTGGTTTGTATAACTAGACTATTTTAAAAGCAGCCAATCATTATCGTTCAATAAAGGTGAACGTGACGAAGTATACCGGGCAGGCGCAAAGTAAGTGTTCGGGTGGGATCAAAAGGAAGATCGATGGAAAGATGAAGGTTAAAAACGGTTTTTGTATTCATTTTAAAAATGTAAGTGCTTAGGAGTTCCCTGTTTTTACATCGATGGAAGTAAAATTCTTTATCAATTTTTTGTTTAAGCAATTCGAGAAGCTATTAATGCAAGCAATTTCTAAGAAGTTTTTCAGTAGTTATTTTCTCCTTTCAAATTGTTTTATCTTGGATAAATTGGAAGTTAAAAAAAATATTCCGTCATTTGGGATATCAAATGAAAGCTCTTGAAGTACGATTTCATAAAATGTATAACACGTTCGTTTTACTTTTTCTTTTGAAAAAAAAAACGCTTCAAAGTTGTTGTCGCCTTCAGCTTATCTCCAAAAGTAAAAATCAGAAAAATTGAGAAAATCACGAACGTTGAACATAAGATGTAGCTTGAACCTAAATTATCAAAATTGCAATGCGTTAGATCACCCATACTCATCCTGCGGCACGCCAAGCTTTTATATGCGACCAGCGAAACCACAATGAAACTATTGCCAATTATTAGGAAGGTTTTAAAAGTAAGTGTTACAGCAGCGAAGCAAGCATACAGATTACCATTACGTGAGATAAAGGTTCATGGACAAGACAATACACATCCAGTCAAGGGCGGCTCCAGGGGAGGGGGGGCGTGCCTAAATCTCTACTTATTTTAAAACAATTACAGCACTATTGCCAAAGTACTTGGCCAAATTTTTTATCCCTCAGACATCGGATTAAAAAAAATAAGCCCAATGGAGTAAAAGTGGTCCTTAAATTAGGTTGAAATTAGGTAAGAATATTGACTGATCAGTTAATAAACTGAAAAAAGTGATAAACTGTTCACCTAAAGTATAACAAAGTAACGTAGACTAAATAATAAAGTTAACTTAGGGAAGGTTTAATAATAATAACAAAGCTGGGCTCTGTCACGAAATAGCGCTTATCAAAAGAGCGCCAGAATGAAATAGCGCATATCAAAATAATAATATAATAATAATACTCTCCCTAATTCACCCCCTTACGAGTGAACTTCAACGCCTGAAGTCGACTGAGCGACTTGTTTAGGGGAAGCGACGGCTATTATTATTATTTGCCGTGGCGCTCCGGGTCGAATTAAAGATGATTGATGGTGCCACCCAGCATCATCGAAAACGAAAATGCATGGCGATTTTTATAATCTGGATGTCATATCAACAGAAATTACATCATTTCTGCTGATACAGCATCCATCAAATTCTATAGAGAATCATGCAAATAAATTCACATGGTCTTCTGTAGGATTTGAAGCCGGGTGTGTCTTTACCACAAAATTGGCTCGTAGATGATGTACGTGCCGTAAACACCTATGCTATCGTAGTCGATAAAAGAAAGTCTTAACGAAATAGCTCATATCAAAAGAGCACCTGAACGAAATAGCGGGAATCAAAGGAGCGTTAGTCAAAACAGCGGCAAAACGAAATAGCGCTTTTTAAAATTGCGTCAGTCAAAATAGAACCAAAAAATTTAACATAAAATGATTAATAAAAATAAATAAACTAATTAACCTGTGCGGCCTGGGAGTGATTTGCAAAAAAATATACATAAAATGAGAAAAAAAACTAATTTACCTAACCTGTGGTTAGAACCGATAATTGGAACAATCTCTTGGGGCTGAGACAGGCCAAGATACTTCTGGGTGAATATAACCAGAAAAGATCGGAAGCCTGCATCTGCCTGAGCAAGAACAGGCTACGTATTGTAACAGGGATCCTTACCGGACATTGCCGACTAAAAGGACACCTAAGTAAACAGAGTAGTAGAGGATAATGAGTGCAGATTCTGTGAGGAGGAGGACGAAACCTCCATTCACATCCTAACTGAATGTGTAGCACTCCAGAATCCAAGGGTACTATATCTAGGAGAATATCAAATAGAAGAGGGAGATTTACCTAACTTGAAGCCACTTCAAATCCTACACTTCCTTAAGAAAATTGGATTGAAAGGGTCGTTATAGGCATTGAGACATTTCCCTAGTGCATTGGCGACAGAAGGGGGCACAATAGATCTTTTAGGTCGCAGTGTATTAACACCCCATCATTCACAACATAACATAACCTGTGGGTGAGCGATCGTTTAATTTTAAATGGCTCCAGGCGGCACAGGTTAGGTAAGTTGGTCAAGGTTTTTATTTTTCCCATATACTCACTATTTTAAAAGGCGCTGTTTTCACGAACGCTCTTTTGATACGCGCTATTTCGTTCAGTGCTATTTTTATCGGGCGCTCAAACAATAACGCTCAAATAATAGTGCTATACTAAGCGCTATTTCGTGACAGAGCCATAAAGCGGATTATTCTTTTTACAATTTTAAGAACAGGAACCTTTTAAAAAGCCTTATGTAATAGTTAAAATTTTGTCTTTGTATATATTATAATAACAAATTGATTGATAAAAATAAATCGATTATAAATTATTTGCTTTAGTAGCTACAGCCTTATAAAAAATAAACATAAACATGTTCACCTGTTTAAATTTAAAGCTATAATTAATTGCATTTATAAATATATCGTAATAATATACAAAGTATTTGTACTTTGGTTACTAAATTATTGTACCAGAAATATGACAATTTGACAAAACAAAATAAAAATATATATCATTAAATCTTTTATACTTTCTGTCAGTGATTGGAACGAGAATTAATTATATCTATAAGTATCTTAGCTTCCTCATCTTCATCTTCATCATCTGAAGATGAAATATTTGGAAAATATTGAGGAATGTTAGAACTTGAATTTAAAATATCATATAAAATATTTTCTGGATTATCCTGATCAATTTGATTTTTAGTTTTGTTTTTGGTTGCATTCGAATTTAAACTAACTACTGAATTTTTATTAAATATAGTATCACATTTTGTTTGAGCTCTGGTAGATTCTAATAAAATGTTAGAAGGTGTTTTAAAATTTGTTATATTTGCACTAAATGATGGAGAAGGTACCTGTCCAATAAAAATATCTGGAGTATCCATATCAAATTGATTTTTAGTTTTATCTTCGTATTTGGTTACTGAATTCGTATTTGCACTTACTACTGAATTTTTATTATTTGTTGATTCTAATGTATTATTAAGAATGTTAGAAGTTGGTTTAAAGTTTGATTTGTTTGAACTAAATGATGGACAAGGCACCTGTTCCATACAAATTGTTGAAGAGGGTTCCGATTTTGAATATTTTGTTGCTTGCGTGTTTTTTAATAGATCTTCTTTAATTCTCATACTACGAAAAATATTTGCTTTTTGCATTCCAACATCCTCTCTAGGCGGGGAATCCAAAATTCCAAAAAATCCGTCGTTATTATTTTTTCGCTTTTTCTGTACATTTTCTGTTTCAAACAATTTTGGGACATGCAATATTTCCTCTTTCAAATTAGTTTTAAATTCTTCTAAATGTTGTTCAATAAGATCTGACATTTCTTTATTAATATTAGGATCATCGTGTTTTACACAAATTTCTATTTGTCTCGGTTTGAGAAATCTAATGAAAGATACACCTTCTTCATAAGAAGCATGTGTAGAATAACATATGTAGTGCTCACCAGCCCCAATTTCTGACATACCATCAGTAAGGGTATCTTGGGTCCAACGAAAAGCTGATACCTTAAATATAAAAATAGATTATGATTTTTTTGTAAGCCACTACATATTAAAAAGAAATAGACTAAGAAGAGGTAGCGATCATTAGATATACAGTATAGTATGAAGCTTAAGCGTTTGCATGTGTGTGTACCGTGTGTGCACTATAGTACGTAAGAACGTCTGTGTATTATACAGGATGTCCCAGAACTCTTTTGACAAATGAAAACCCTAGACATTAGACTTAATTTTATGCCGATTTAACTAAAATTACCTTATTGAATTGAATAAAAAAAATATAATAGTACCTACTGATAAATTGATTTGAATAAAAAAAAATTATTTAGTAATACTGATTTAATTTATTCTAAGGGCCAGTCTTTTCACCTCTAAGTAAAGTTTAAAGTAACTACTTGCTGAATAAACTATAGGGCTATTGTTTGTTAATCTGTCAAGTAAACTTACATGTAACTTTACTCAGAGGTGAAAAGATCGACAACTAATATAATAAAAACATATTGATAAAATAGAAAATTAAAAAAATATATAAACAACGACGATAATATATTTAAATATTTTCAATTTTCCAAGTGATTAAATAATAATTAATATTAAAGGGAAGATGAATTGGTAGTTCTCAATTTATCTGAACTGAGGTATCGAGCAAAATCGTAGTAGCATAAAAGAAACGATTTAAATTTTAACGGAAGACCAAAAGACAATGAATAGTATTAAGAAGTTGAATTTTCAGGTTAGGTTTATGAAACATAGGCTTAGACTAAATCACGTAGATGTTCTTCACATTGCTAGCTCTGGTTTTTAAGAACCATTCCATATGTTACATTTTTATTAGGGTTTGGAAATTGTTAGAACTTCAAACTATTTCTGTAAAAATATTTAAGCCCTTTACCCTTTAGGCCTGCCCATGTAAATTATATGGGCCCTGTACCCCTTAAACCTGTCCATGTAAAAATATTTGGTGTTTTCACCCCTTACCCAGACATCACACCAAATCCTTTGGATATCTACTGAACATCCCAATATCCACTGAATGTCCAGTCCATGGTAGATATCTATTTTATATCCATGAAATGTAATTTATAGACATGCAAATGTCCATAAATAATAGTAATTATATAGCAAATTATTAAAAAATTACGCCATTGTGGCTAATAGTACCGTTCAGATATTTAAAATGATTTTTTTTAAGGTGTATTCAATATCCCATGAACATCCACTAAATATATCAAAGTCTCGGCGCGAACGCAAACCATCGTGGATATCCACTAGATGTTATTTGATTCTGCTTACTAAGTATAGATGGCGATACCACTATCGCATCTACTCATGCTCGACCCGCCGTAATTGAGTTCGATCGAAATGTGTGTCCTAATCACTCCATTAGAGACTGGAGTCGAGAATTTTCATTTATTGCTGAAGAGTCCTAATAAGTATGACTTTCTCCTTAGTGGGCAAAATCAAAGGCAGAGTGTTGAAAATATTTTGAGTGTTGAAAATATTTTTTATCTCTGCTATTTTCTTTCGACGTTATTCAATAATCAATGGTTACTTATGAACCTCTACTAAAGATAAAATATTTTGCTGAATATATCCTGGGATATAGACGGACATTTGGTTGGATATCCATATTGAATATCCACAAAATATATTCTGTGGATATCTCAGGGATTTCTTGTATTTTCTGGAAGATACCCATTAGATATTTTGCTGGATATCCATTAGGATATCTTCTATATTCTGGATATAGACGGACATTTGGATATCCATATTAGATCCACGGAATATTTCTGATATCCTGTGGATATATTGGATATCCACAAAAGATATTCTGTGGATATCTCTGAGATTTGGTGTGTTGTCTGGGTACACATGCCCACGTAATAATATTAGGCCCATTTATACCTTAAGCCTGTCCATGTTAAAATATTTGGTTCCTTTACCTCTAAGACTGCCGATTGTTACCTTAATTCACAAATATCAGCCCATTTTTTGTCAAAATTGAGATGTTTTTCGCTATCTCGTTAAACGCCTAACAAAAACCTGCAGCTGAGAAAAATATTTCTTATTACTATAAGTCATTTTAGAAAACATCGTAACTGCAACACTTGTACACTAGATTTTTTAAAACCATTTACTGCTTCAGCCTGCCCATGTAAAAATTATATTTGTTGGGGCATTTACCATTTTTATCCTAATATCAAATTCATATACAAATTCCATTCAGAATTTCATTAAAATTCATACAAAAATCGTTTCTTCACCATCCTGTGTTATTCGGGTAAGATCAAAATTTATTTCATCTTAAACCAATGATTTAGTTACCTAGACAGCAATGGCCTGAGAAAATACTCCATTCCTCGATTTGAACAGAGGCGTTTATGGAGGGGATAGGTATAGATGCCTAGAGAATCTCTCCAATTCGTGAGGGTTACACCCTGTGTCCATGTTGAGATAATTACTTTGGCAAAGTGCTCTTTTGTATTACTCAGGAATGGTTCTGGTCCTATGAACTCAGATCGATTCCTCTTTTGCGAGTAAGTCAGCTTTCTCGTTGCCCTCCATACCACAGTGTTCTGGGCACCTAGACACGCAAGGATATTCATATAGTTCCAAATTAGTTTCGAGTCAATTCAATTGGAGCTCAGGTGTCCCTTAACATGTAAACATATTTGGCCATTTAACCTCTTAAGCTCACCTGTTTAAAAATAGTTACGATCTTTACCCCTTAAGCCTGATCCATATAACCTTCTTGATCATAATATTAAATTCAGGAACAAGCTCCATTCTGGAGTTCATTATATTATCATTTTAAAAAACTTTATATAATTTGACATTTAAGAATGACAGCAATATAGAAAAAAAAAATTCTGTAATTTCATATTTGACAAGAAGGCTATCTAGTAAAATCAGTACCCACGCCTAAATAAGTGCATAAAATAAGCTCCATAAAGAAATGCATTGGATTTTAAAGATATCGATATTTAAAGCAATGAAGTTAAACCAGGGTTTTCTGTTGAAAATCATGATCAAATAAAGTCAAAACCACAAGTCAATTGGAGCTTTCGTTCTAGAGTTATCCTGTTGGCCTGCACATACATATGCACACATAGGGTGACAAACAAGGAGAAAAATGTTAAAAAAATTCTTGTCAGGGCAATATTTTGCGATGCGGCCCCATAAAGTAGGTTAGGTAAATCCGTAATAAGAAATGATAAAAAACGCACCCTTATTGTTTTAACCATCAAGTCCTGTGCATAATATATACAAGTTTTTCCAAAACCATCACAGTTTGAATGTATTGGTGTAATAAAAGCATCCAGAGTCACAGATTTATCCATTTCTGGAATAAGGGAATAAAACCTATATGCCTCTTCTCCAACATGAACTGGCATGTTCAGTTTATTAAATATTTCATTAAAAACGTATTCATACCCATACTTGGCACTTGTTCTAAGACTTATATAATAAAGCTTTCCATTATCTGTCCATTCTTTGATAATTTGAATCAATTCTTGGAGACTTTCTTCTCTTTTTGGAAAATGTAAATACTTTGTTAAGAAAAATGTGGTATCTAAATAAATAGTATCTATAATTTTCACTTTACCAAACTGATCATAAAATACATCGAATCTTTTAATATCATTTTTACTAATTCTGTAGTCTCCAGTATATAAAATTCTAGTACCATTTTCAAAAAGAAACATTACTGAACCAGGACAGTGACCAGCAGGTATTAAAGTCACTGAAATTTTTTTATTTTCTAATAAAATTGTAATTGCGATGTTTAAGTCTAGTTCTTTTACATTATTTTTAATATAAGGATGCAACCTTTTAAGAATTGCACAAGAAATCTGAGACGCGTATAAATATTTCCCTTTTTCTACCAGTTGTTCTTGAAAACAGTATAATCCCAATCCTCTCATATGATCGCTATGACAGTGAGATAAAAAATAAGCTTCAGATTCAAAATTTTCTCCATCAAATCTGTCCACACTGATATTGGGTAATTCTTGAATTTTCCCGCCAAAAGTGCTCATCCTATGATTTTAAATTTGCCGCGTCTTTTTCCGGAAATGAGCTTTTGTTTTGGCGGTCGTCGAGAAGTTGTAGGTTATTTATCCGCTAACCTATTTTCGCTCAAAATTCATTGCTGCAAAAATTTGTATTTATTATTATGAAATTCTGTTTACTCGTGTTGAAAAACAAATAATTATTTTTACTAACCTTTTCCAAATAATTCCATATTGTGTAAACTGGTGAAATTTTAACAAGGGTTCCATACACCAGCGGCCATTTGCCACCAGCAAAGTGAAGGACGACGTTAGTTTTTCACAAAGCTTGGTTAGGTTGTCATAATCTAAGATATTTTTACATGTAAGTAATTATTTGTTAAAATTTGTTATGAATAAGATTATATTAATTTCTTTTTTCTAAAAATAAATATTTAGTAAAGCGTTATTTTTGTAATTTTTGTTGTGATGTAATTATGTTTCCTTTCTTTCAATGTAATGGAGGTTTGAGGTGTGTAACAGCCACGAACTTTCAGATATGCGTTTTAGTCTTTTACGGTGAGTAATTCCCTTATCAGAAAAAAATACTATTTGGGCATATTTTTTTGTTTACACTTTTCAAAATTTGTAAACTTTGTTAACCTCAATTTTAGCATAACCTCAACTTGTCAAATAATATCGATATCGATAACCTTAAATTTTGGTTTGTGTCGAGTCCATTTTTGTTGGTGTTTAGTAATTAGTAGTAAATAATTAAATTATTGTCGTTTGTATAATTAACATAATTTGCTAAAATGAGATCAAAGACTCGTTTCAGGGTTTGTACATATTAGTTTATTTTAAAAGCATACCTACCTACCTACCTACTATTGGCCTGTCGTAAATAGCGATATAAAAATTGGGGCTATTTTTAGCTTCTACCGGTTTTATGTGTTAGCTAGGATTTCGATAAAATTATTTATGAGGTACGGGGTCCCAATAGATAAATAGTACCTCAAATAAAACTGATTTATCTGTTGTTTCTTTGTTCTCTTTACTGTTTATTGATTTGGGTTTCATATATTTGATGTTTTAACATTCTCAATTTTAAATTTTATAAAATACCTATATCTTATAGCAATTATATTTCTGCAGAATAATCTAAGTAAAGAGATATACTTACAATTTGAGATTATAACAACCATTTAAAACATTTTTAAAATGTTTGTTTATAATGTATATTTTTAATTATTAATTAAATCCATGTACCTACCCTACTTCTTATATTGTCATTTTGCTTGATATAACATATATTTTTTTTTTTTTTTGTTGAGAGCAGGTCCATGTTAATTTCTATTCAAAAAATAAAAGAGTAGGTACCTACAAAAACATAATATCAGAAAATGTCATCATTTGCACCTTCTTAATTTGTTTACCATCCCTAAGGCAAACTTAATTGACAATCCATTCTTTTGTCATATTTAAGGAAGGTGTAGAAAACATTTTATTATCTATAACTAATGATACTGAATGTAAATACTAGCACTATATTTTTATGTATGTATTTAGTTTTTTTTATACATTTATTCTTGTAATAAATAGTAGCATGTCAATTATTTAAATGTCTAGGAATATTTTTAAAACATTATTTCCATATGGTTAATATAATGGACATATCGCACACACTGTCACATTCATTATAACTTGACTAAAAATTAACACAAACCACCATTGAAAGAATAAAGAAAAGTGCATTGGAAAACTTGTTATTTATTAGATAGGTATATATCCAATAGAAGAAGAAAAACTTTAGAATTCCCAAAGGACCATCTATCAGAATCTTTTAGTCCATGTTGAATATAATTATATTTTGAAATAAGAAAAAGAAATACAGTATTAAAAAATATATGTGTGTAGTCTGGTATGGAAACAAATAAAAGATTCTGGACATTGTTAGCTTCTGATTAAGTTGTCTGGTGGCTATTTGAGGGATAATGGATATTGATGTTTGTATTTTTTTAAAATGTCTAGATAAGGTTTCATGGTTCCATTTTTGTTCTTTCATACAATAAGGAGTTTGAAATATTGTGAACTAGATTATTTGGATGCAGCATTTTTGGTAATAGTTGGCAAGCTGCTTCTCTCAGTAACTTGAAGGTTGGATAGTGTGCTTTGTCTGGATTTTAAGTACATTCATAATCTAGTAGGGGTTTGCATATAAATGTATATATTTTAGTTGAATTTTGCTTTGTTACTAAACACTAAACCTCTAACAGCTAGTTACAAGAAGGTTTATTAAAATGTATGAGCCTATTAAACTTTGATAGAGCTTGAATTTCAAATTACCACCATCTAAACATCTGCCAAAATTTATAAATGTTTAGCCAATGTTAGTACTTTTTTGACAGTACTTGTTTGTTTTTGAAAGTTTTAATTTATTGTATATGTGTTTTTATGAAAATGTTCAGAAAATGCTTGTATTGACTTTATTTGTCAAAATAAAAAAAAACTAAAACAGTATCTAGAAAATGTCCATTTATGAATACCTGCCTCAGTCTGATTCAAAACCTTTTTCTGACTGAGATATACTAGTGGATGCCACAGCTGCCTCAGTTTTGGTTGTGATGCTTACTTAACCACTTAATCTTTTGGTGTTGTCAGTCTTTAAACAGTTTCTTAGTTTAGAATGCATAAGTCCGAATTTGGAGAAAATTATTTTCAATTCTATAGATGATATTACTGCGTTCAATAGTTGTGACCCATTTCTAAAAAGTTAGGTTGTAAATTACAATCTTGTACAAAAAAAGTAAATAATTTTGTCGAAGTTCTTCCAAGCTTTGAATGTGAGGAATATTTTCTTAGTGAATATGGTGTTTCCATAAGGGAGCGTTCAAGTATTACGTAACGCAATTTTGGATATTTTTAAACCCCCCCCCCCCCTTCCCCCCATGTAACGCGCCGTAACATTTTTCTGTACCCCTCCCTACTCCTAGTAAAACGTTACGTAACCACCAAGTGACTATTTTTACCTAAAAATCAAAATTATGTCACTCCATTTCAAATTTTGAGAAAAAAAACGTATTAAAAAATGCGTGAGAGAATCTCTCTACGCGACTTTTCTGAAGGGTTAAAAAATAATAAAGTTACATAACGCGTAGTTCAAACCCCCCTCCCGCCCATGTAACGCATCGTAACGTTTTACAAAACCCCCTCTCCCCCCCCCCCCCCCCCCAAATTCGTTACGTAATACTTGAACGCTCCCTAAGAGATATTTTGTGAATTTGGCTAATAAACTACAGAACAGCTGGTTCCAAATTTTTTCTCAATGAGAACCTCTTCTAAAAACAGGAATAAATTGGCGTAGTAAATAGTAACAGTAAATAAAATAGTAAAATTAGGCTATTGAAATGTATTTTCTATTTTGAATAACAGCTCATAATGAAAAATTTAACAAAATCATAAAACAACTATGGGCAAACATTAAATAAAACTAAAGTAAATAGCTTAACACTTTACAAAAAAGATTAATACAATAATATAGAACTAGAAAAAAGCTTCAATGGTATGTGTGCCTATTTGGTGGAACAAAAATTAAAAATTTGGCTAAGGGAGCAAGGACTTTTTTTAGAGACTGTTTCTACAAGCATACACTTTGTGATGTCTTTGTCACTTGGTGCTGGTCGGTGATCTTGCAATTCTGTAACTCAAAATTATGCCTGGAGAGCCATTTCACTATCTTTAAAGCCGACAGAAAAGAAAGATTCTTTTTATTACCTGAATATTCAACGGGTTTATCCTTGTGAGCCATGTGTCTTGTTTCAAGGTGTCTACGAGCTGAAGAGGCTAGTCGCCAAATTAGTGAACGTCCACGTTCTCACAACAGTTAAGCAGTGGGACTTAGCAGACTAGTGTTTAATCATTTTTAAGTAATAAAAGTAACTTAAATTTTATTAATTTTCAAATACGTGAGCTGTATTCACAAATAAATATTTAAAGTTCCATCAATTTATAAATAAAGAAATACAAAACGGCATATCTAGACCCAGAGTTCAAGACTATGTGGGTCTTACAAATAACAAATATAATGTTACCGAAGAAGAATTAAGTACTTAGTTATAATACTACACAAAATTAATACAAATACAGTAATCTAATATCACACTATTTAAACCTAAAATGTCAACTAAGAAGAGTCCTTATGTTCTCTTTGATGCTTGGTAGATCATTGTATTGTTATAGACCATCCTATAGTATGCTTCGGTCACCTAAGCATGTTCTTATGGGCTGTGGTTCTGTAGCAGAGGTTGTTTCTGGTATTGTACCTATGGATATCATTGGCAGTAGTCAGTTGTAGGGATGAGTGTATATTATTTAGAGGCAGGTTATGAATAAAGATGCATGTCTGATTTTTAGAGAGGGACTGAATGTCTAGAATATTATTTGGATGATAAAAAAGATCAGTAGGATGACAGTTGAATTTTTTTTCTGATAGCCCTATTCTGTAGAATTTGCAAGTGTTTTAGTCTATTTTGGGAAGTTTTAGATGTAAATTGATTAGTGAATGATGTAGTCTTTCTTATGTCAGCTGAAAGGTAGTAGGCAACTCGTCCCAAAACTCCAAAGGCAGGACTAATTTTTTTACACAATTAATTTGATTTTCCCAGTTGAGCCTGGAATCTATATACAAGCCATGATATTTAATGCATTCTGTCCTAGTTAACTATTCATTGTCTATATTTATTTGAAATTGTTCCATTCAGGCTTTTTTGATATCACTAAAAAATTTGACTTGTCAGTATTCAGTGTTAATTTATGAAAGTTTAACCATTCAAGAATTTGATTTAGATTTGCCTCTATAATATTCTTTATTTCCTCTGGATGTTTTCCAAAATAGATGAGGCATGCATCATCTGCATATAGTTGCAGATAACCAGCTAATGGTAACTGAGCTATGGAGTTTATATAAATCAGGAATAACGTTAGTCCAAGAATTGAATCGGTGAGTTCGAAAACCGTCCAAAATCAGCCTTCCGAGAAAAAAAAAAAATAAAAACCTTAACGAGACACGAATATGTATGGTTTTTTGCCTAATTTCATGGGTGTAATCAACTGTACTACGTTAAAGGACAGGTATCTAGTACGATTTTTAATCTCAATGGATGAAGAGACAAATTTTTTAACAAAATGGCTATCTTACTTTAAAATGTCAAATTTTGGGCTTGTAAGGTTTTCGAACTCACCGATTCAATTGATCCCCTGGAGTACACCATATTGGAGATACCTCCATTATTTACAAAGTGTGCAGCCATTAAAATAATCTCTGAAAAGAGAATGCATTTCCCGCAATTCCATGGTCTTCCAAAATAGATAACAGTAGTGAGTGGT